GATAAACGTGTTCAAAATTTCAATAAATTAATCACCGATTCAATGAGTGCACAAAAGAACAGATTTGCTGAAACCTCTAAAAATTTAGCAAAATACAAATCTAAAAATAATTTTGTTAGATCATCAAAATAATTATGTAAGACATTCAAACTTGTTATTAGGATGTCAAAACTTTTTGCAACGTTAGTTGCAAAAAATCATTCATAGTGCAACAAAATTATTTGTATCTAGTTAAATTTTTAGATATTTTGGTAAAATTATTCTTTCTATATACAAATTGTAAATTTATAAAATTATAAAATATAAAATTATAAAAGTATAAAATTATAAAAATATAAATTATAAAATTATAAAATAATTTATAAAATTATTTAAATTTATAAAAAAATTATTAATAAAAAACTGGTGATTTTCTATTTGTTTTTTTTAAATGGAAAAAATTTTAGCATTTTAAGAAGAAGTAAAATATATTATAAGAAGAGGAGAGAATCGCAAATACATTGAAAATTTATTTCCAGAAAAATCCAAAACCAAGAGAAGTGAGATTCTTAACTTTTGTTTAATGATGTGTTTATCTACGTTGTATTTTCTTTCAAGAGAACAGTAACTCTGAAATCCTGAAATCTCTCACCTGGCCAGTTCTCTTTGAAGATGATGGATTCTCGAGCGTGCTCTTTCAGCCTCAGCCGTAGCCTCGCGCACTCGAGCTTCGGCCTCCATTCGTTGCCGGCGTTCTCGTTCCACATCTCGTTGCGTGGCCTCCCTCTACAACAATTCGAACATTGACATTTTATTAATGAAAGTTCTTTGATAGACAGAAAAAAAAGGAAGAGAAAGGGGTGATAATTAAATGCGACGGTGGAACGATAGAAAATTCAGCGTCGCGCGCCGCCCTCGAAAAATCAGCGTCGTTGCGACAGTCGTGAATAATGAAACGGCAATAATGACGTTTCGATAGCAATCGCACATGGAAAGGTATCGCCGGTGCGAGTGATTAATTAATAGCGGATTTAATAAAGTGTTCGCAGCGACGCGATGCACGGCGAACAATGCCAGTTGCTATGTTATTCGTTGCTCGTTTCCCCGGAGGGAGGTAGAGAGGGAAACGTTAATTGACTTGCAATTAATCAGCGCGCGATCGTCATAATTTATTCGTGGTAACGTGTAATGAGCGGCACGATTAATAAATCACTGTCAAATCGTCCGTACTTTTCATTCACCCGATTGGCAGCAGTGATCGAAATTTTCGGCTAACAATCAGCTGAATTTTTCGCCGCGATTGAACTGACGGCGTAATTTTAGCAAGTGAAATTTCATTGTAGTAGTAAGACAAATCTTTCACAAATAACAAAATAAGAATAATCTTTTAATCTGGAATACTACTGGATGTTAAATGATGTAGTACTGTTACTGATACGTGAATTTTATGTTCGAAGAAATAGGCCACTTTTAATTAATGTAATGCAGAGACATTTTCATACATTTTTAATAACAAAATATTTATATTTTAAATTTTATAACACAAATAACTTAATTATTAAAAGAAATAAAAGTATACTATTAATTTAATCTTGAAATGATATAAATGATGAAGTATCTATATGTGTCATCTTATAATATTTACCAATAAATAATAACACAAAGCTTAGAAATTGAAGTTGCTTAGAAATTGAAATTACTTATCTGTTATATTTCTCTGTTATAATACTGACTATTAGGAAACCAAACTGTTATATAATGGACTGAATTTTCAAAAACTTGTTACCATTGTCCTATGTATAAGTTTTTAGCACAGCGGATTGGATCTCCTGATGGTCATTGAAGACTTCAGCGCTCGATAATTTCACTCATTTGCACGTCAAATTTACGTACAATAACGTTTTAGAATTAAGCAAGATTACATATAATTTTACATAGATGATAAAGCACATAGTTATTGTCTGAAGATATATTTAAAATAACGAATAAAATAAAAACAATGTGCATTATCTAAGACAATCGAAGCCTATATGGTTAGTATCCAATATGCCTTACTCGCTATTTGCAATTATACGGTAAATTCGACAGACAGCACTAGTATAAAGTACAGGCTATTTGTTTGACTGGATTGGAGTTTATTGTTCAGTTTGTTTATTCTGTTAGTAAAGCAAAATGTAGAACGTAAAATGCAGAAGTCGTGATGTAATATTTCGTAGATAAGTACAATTATTTTCTATATACTTTCTGTATAACTACCGAGAGTTATTAATAATTTCCGTAGATTATTATAAGTTTATATTTATATTTTACAACATGGTATTTAATTATATTTTCGTCTTTTGTTTATAACTAAAGGAAGGAATATATTACTCTTTTGTAAAACCAATATGATTAATCTATACATACTAATAACGTAGCATACGTCGATTGAACAGTTTTTTAGTATAACTTTTTAGTATAACTTTTATTGTTCCAGACCATAAGTTTTAATGCTAAACATCAATAGATAAATAGATAAATAGATAAATAAATAAGTAAATAAGTCAATTGTTTGAATAGTTCTTGTGTCTTCTTACATGTTAATAAACGTTACAATACGTTAATAAATTTATAATCTTATAAAAGTAATGTTAGGTCATCTCATTTTCTATTTTTTTACGAAAAGGAGGGAAACATATTTAGGTTTTATATTAAATGACCTAGAAAGAATTACAGATTACGAGATAACTATTTTTATTGAATAATTTATTTAGATTTATCTGTTTTTTTTTATTTGCAATGGCCATTTGATAATTGCTTAAATAAATAATACGATAATTTCTCGAGTAATTCCCTAAAATATTTACAAATAATGTTTTACATGTATAATCTAAATGCTACTTTTTTTTACATTCTTCATTGCATTTATATGTGCATGTAAATATTTGAAAATGTCTTATATATTTTTTAATGTTCAGAAATGTTTCCTCTTTTAAATTTATCAGTTTTCAATTTTGAACTCAGTAAAAGATTAAAAAAAAAATTACAAAGTTTATGTAAGCGTATAGGATCTAGTTACTTTAGATAGATCGGTTTATCATTTGTAAAACATTTCGGGCAATTACTACAGCAATTTCTACATTATTTATTTAAGCAACTAATCGAATACCAGCCACTATAAATAATGGAGAATCGTTATCCAAATAAATTATTCGAATAAGAATGATAGTCCTATGCAATTCTAGAATAACACCCAATTCTGGGTACTTCGTAATAAATCTGAACTTGGCGAAATTTACCGACGGCAACGTCTGATCTTCACTGGCGAACCCAGAATTCTCGAATTCTCGCGAGAGCGGACTGGGAAAAAATGCGCGAGACGACGACCGAAAAAGCTCGTTGATCTTCGGATCGTCGCGTCCACATCGGGGCAGCGAAGTAGGAATTATTCATGAATTTAAATCGAAGCGCCGCATGCCACATTGATTACACCCTTTTGGATCGCGGGCGAGAGTCCCGGCCCGCCGCGTTACGTCACTTCTCTGCCCACTCTCCAAGTGCCATCAATAATTGTGCTGGACCAATGTGCCGAAAGCAGTATTTCACACGATTTAACCCGTCGGTAACCGCGGCTATCTCGGGACCGGTTGTAAATTGTCGTTTGTCCGGGAAGCCGGGAAGAGCATGAGAAGGACGAAGTTTCGGATGTGGTGCGAGATAATAATGCTCTCAGATTTGCAACGGTCGGCTTTAGAAAAAAGACGGGCGATTAGATTTATGTAGATTTAGGTCGTCTTATTAGGAGAAAATTGTATAAACTTCTGGTCAAGAAAAACAGGATGATAGTAAATAAAAATTTACTGTCATCCTGTTATTATAGTTAAATGAACACTAATATTCTGACATGAAAAGTAACGATAATTTAAAATACAATTAAAAATGTTTAAATAAAAAGTAGTGATAAAAATAACAACCTTAGAAAATTTCTAATAATTTCAATAAATTACCTATATTTTTCATTGATTGATAACATCTGTAATATTACTTCTTTTGCTCTTGAATTGACAGATTTACGATTATCGCATTAAATTAAGCATGGAAATGTATATAAAAAAATCTTGTTAAAACTAATAGCGTAATGTAATATCTATAGTGCACTTACAATCAAAGAAAAACATCGTGACAGTAATTGTATAGATGCACACTGAGAAAAAAATTGTTCATTTGATTAAATTAACTTAGTTCTTTCTTTTTTTGATGAAAAATGTATATATTTAAGTTAAATATATTTGTTAAATATATATATATATATATATATATATATATATATATACAATAAAAAAATAAAAACAATTAAATTAATTTAGTTAAATAAACATACAATAATGTTTTTTCAGTGTAACAACTATGCAAGTTTTATATTATGTAGAATTAATGTACATAAATAAATAAATTATTTCATAGCTACAATAATTGTAAAATAATTTATTCAACCATGCAAATAATTATATCTATAAAACTTTTATCACCTATATAATTGTCACCATTATGATTTTCCCTGAGTGTGCAATATCTATTTATAATACACCACAATATCCATAATATGTCATAATATGTCATAATATATGCTCTCGGTGTGCACACTTTTATATTCACAGGAAGATCGCCGATTTATCTCAGTTCGCCGCATTTACAATCGAATTCGTAAAAATTCTGCCAACGTCGACGGATATTGTCACGATCAAGCGGAAGTATGCCAAAGAAAGGACCTGGGAATGAATTCAAGGATGTGAGATCCAAAGAGGAGACATCAAGGAATACAATCTGGTAAAAGCCGGGCTACTCGCGCGCGCGCGGAGGGTTTAAGGAATAGTCAGAACGGATTTATAGCAGCCTTAAATCCTAACGAACGCTCTTTTCCATCCCCGATGGATCTCCTCGTGACTTGCTTTCCATCGAGAATGCCGTATTTGCGTGGTTACTTCCATTTGAAACGCGATTTTCAGTCGTCCTGAGAAATTCGTGAAGATTTTATAGCTCAAATCACGAAAGCAGACATATTTCCCGTCAAATTCAATGCGAAGTCGTGATTTTACTACAAGAACCTTTCCCACTGTTCAAAATCAAGGAAAGAAGAACTGAGGAGATTTCTACACTTGTGGAAAATACTGGACAGAAAATAGATAAAAATTATGTTCTTCCTTGAAATAAATATAATTACGCGTGTTAAATAAAAAAAGAATAAAAATTTTATAAATTTCTTAAAAAAGAAGTCCGTATATGGTAGATCCTTTATACTTCACGGAAAAAATGATATTGCTAAATTATCTATAAATTTAGCTCGTTTGAAAATAGTTGAAAGTTTTGTTTAAATAATTTACTGTCTAAAAATTATGTAGAACGTTTAAACATTTCTTATTATTTTGTTTTATCTAGATTTTCTCTCTCTCTCTCTCTCTCTCTCTCTCTCTCTCTCTCTCTCTCTCTCTTTTCTTATTTACAAATGGCATGCAAGAAACTTCATTGTGTCATTTCTTGTTTTTGACGTCACGATCCAATGTGACTGCAGCAATTCAGGAACCTTAAATTTAGAAAATTTAGAAAATTATTTTACCCCGTTGTACTATAAATACATTTTTTACTGAAATTTAATTCAGACTGAGAGATTTTGCAATACGACTTTATTGCTCCACGCGCCCATGCCACGACATTATGAGGCAACGAACCTCTCGGACACGCCGAAAATACCGAATCGAGTTGAACGCGAGAAAATTGATACGATCTTCAAAGGCACCCCACAGAAAAGC